CACACCATGCTCACAGGAGCTGCAGGACATGAAAAAGAAATAAAAGAAAGAAAGAAAAATTAGAAAAAAAAGAAAGAGAAAAAGGAAAGAACATAAGGAAAGAAAGTGAGTGGTAATCTTGTGGCACCATGAGCTGCACTCCAGCATGAGCTCCTCTCCGGACATCAGCTCTGAGCCTAGTGTGATGTTGTGGATGTCAAAGGTCACATCAGGGGTCTCCAACACACTTTGTAGAGAGGTCAAGAGGTCAGAGTCCACCACACACGGACATTCCTGCAGACACAACACAACATTACAACAACAACCATAACACAGACAACACACAATAAATAAAACAAATTTGAAAAACTCCTTGCTCTGTTACACATCATTGGGAAAACATTTGAAAAGAAAGCAGTGTTCTACGTGAAATCTCCAGAATGAGTGTGTATTATAATATACAGAGTGTGTGTCGTGAGCTCACAGAGACGCAGGATCCGTTGTGCTGGAAGGTGTTTGGTGGACAGTGGCAGCCTTCATCACAGCCCTCTGAATAACAGCCCTCCAGACCACTGACCTGAGAACAGCTGAACGGACAGCCCTCGCCATGCTCACACTCACGGTACAGACGCCCGGGAGGACAGCCCACCTCTGAACACACACACAAGCCCAGATGAATTACAGACAAATCCGTCATTAAACACACACATTTACAGATGAATTGTTTTATTAATTTATTTAATATTTATTTAATATTTAATTTAATTTAATTTAATTTAATTTAATTTAATTTAATTTAATTTAATTTAATTTAATTTAATTTAATTTAATTTAATTTAATTTAATTTAGCATTAAGCCCCATTTACAAAATATTAACGGTCCTAAACGTTTTCTTTCTTTCTCTTTCTTTTGGTTTATTTGTTTGTATTAAATAAATTACATAAACTATCTTTATACTTTACTTTTTGCACCATTTACCTGTCTTGAATTTAATTGTTTTGTTTATTTATCCATTTATTCATTGCATCAAGCAAACGGGATCATGTTCCATCCTAACTGACTGTGCTTTTTTTGTTTATTGATTTATTTAGCACTTATTTTAAAATAGTTTTTTGCAGAATGTATTCATATGTGACCTTGGATTATCATGCATCTTACAGTATATTGTATACTTGTATATTGCATTGGTACTGTATATTATATAACCGGTAAAAATGATTATTTTTATTTTATTTAAAAAATCATTGGAATATTAAGTAATGATTATCTTCAATAAAGGCATTTTAATTTCATTTAATAAAAAAAAATATTAATAATATGCATTTCTGAGAACTTAAGTTGAACAAATTAAAACCTGATTTTCTCATTATTTAGATTTTGTTTGCACCCTGAGATTTAAGATTTTCTAATAGATGTATCTCAGTCAAATTTTGTCCCATCCTAATAAACATACCTTCATAGAAAACTTAATTAGCTTTTAGATAATTTCCAAAAATTGATAAGATTTGAATTTCAAAAATTTACACTTTCATAACAAAATGGTCTTCACCATTCTCTGATCACACTGTACCTTTGTGTTCTTAAAGAATCTCAATACCTTTTGACATTACATAAGGCAAGGCAAGTTTATTTATATAGCACATTTCATACACATGGCAATTCAAAGTGCTTTACATAAACAGGAATAAAAGAGAAAAGTATAAGAAAATAAAAACAAATAATAAAAATGATAAAATAGGTTATAAAATAATGAGAAAGAAAAGAAAAACCTAATAGTGCACTAATAATCAGTATATTAATTACAAGTTATTGTAGTGGTGATTATAATGAAATATGTATGTTGACGTACCCAGACACACTTGTGTGTTACAGGTCTTGCTCTGCCGTCTCTTTCCTAAACATGGAGGTGTGGAACAGGAACGACTGCGGCTCTGAGAGCCTCCACCACAGCTGACGGTGCAGGCAGACCACCTGGACCACTGCAGCCACGGGCCAGAGTCTACAACAACAACAAGGTTTAAAATTAATAACACCAAATTTCCTACTTCTTTTTCTTCTCATTCTTGGACAAATCTAACATTATTTGCTTAAAAAATTGGATATTATACAAAATACCCAAATACCAACATATAAAATATATATATATACAGTTGAAGTCAAAATTATTAGCCCCCTTGAATTTTTTTCATCCTTTTTACAATATTTCCCAAATGATGTTTAACAGAGCAAAGAAATTTTCACAGTATGTCTGATAATATATTTTATTTTAGAAAAAGTCTTATTTGTTTTATTTCAGCTGGAAGAAAAGTAGTTTAACTTTTAAACACTATTTTAGGGACAAAATTATTAGCCACTTCAAGCTAAATTTTTCCTTGATAATCTACAGAACAAACCATCGTTATACAGTAACTTGCCTAATTACCCTAACCTGCCTAGTTACCCTAATTAACCTAGTTAACAAGCGGTCTAATAATTCAGGGGAGCTAATAATTCTGTCTTCAACTGTATGTATACATATATATATATATATATATATATATATATATATATATATATATATATATATATATATATATATATAATATTTAAAGTGAACCTTTTGAAAAGTTATATATTGAAAAGGTTATATATATATGTATAGTTAATGTAACACTCAGAAATAAAGGTTCAAAAGCTGTCACTAGGGAGGTACCTTTACTTTTTTTTTTTCACTTTAAGCTATTCTGAGGTATGCATTTGTACTTTTTAGGTGTAATTATGTACTTTTAAGGTACAAATGTGTATTATAAAGACATAAAAGTGTACTTTTTAAAGGTAACGCCCCAGTCACACCTTTATTTCTGAGAGTGCAGGAATTTGCAAAACAACCCAATTTTTTTTAATGAACCAATTTCACATTTTCCTAATTATAAACTCTTAATTTACTTTTAAAAAATGTATAATTCCGCAACATATATTTCCATAACAAAAAAATATTTTTTTTTTGCTTTCTTAAATTGATTTATTCAGAACTGTTGAAATTATTTTTCCCAGAGATGGGTTGCGGCTGGAAGGGCATCCGCTGCATAAAAACTTGCTGGATAAGTTGGTGGTTCATTCCTCTGGGACTAAGCCGACAAGAAAATGAATGCATGAATGTTGAACTTATTCACAGCATTTAAAGCAAGTAGATTATGCAATTAAATTGCAAAAAGCAAAAAAAATCCTTTGCATTATTTTTCAGCAGAAGAGTAATGTAATTACAGTAACTCGTTACACTGAAACACTGTATGTAAGTATGGGGTGGCGGGTCTGACCTGTGCAGTTGTGTGTGTTGCAGTGTTTCTGCTGTCGCTCTGATCCTGCACACTGTCTCCCGCCGCTCTGAGGGGTGGGGTTATCACACTGACGATCCCTCAACTTAACCCCGCCTCCACACTGGGCGGAGCAATCAGACCAGGCACCCCATTGGCTCCATCCACCATCAACATGGCAACCAGGAACTGAATCACACTGCAGGACTCCTGCTTCACATGTACTGGACAGAAAATATTGAACAGACTTGTTAGACTAGTCAAAATCTTGGACATTGCTACTTGGACATTTTTTTCCTCTCACATATTGTAGTGATACTATGTCAGACTTCAATATTACTTCCTTACTTGCTTTACTTTATTGTCATTCACATGAACATGTACACAGAACAAAAATTCGTAGCATTGGCTCAGCAGTTTCAATAAAAATAACCCTAAACAATACATAAATAAATAATATAATATAACAAAACTTTCTATGACTATAAGTCATAGTATTCTGTCAAATACTATCACTTTCATAGATTTTTTTGTTCCTGTAAATGACGAGGAATTTTGTTTAGGGCTGCACAATATTTTGTTTTAGCAACGATATCGCAATCTGCAAATCTTCAATAGTCACATCACAGGATCTGCAATGCCATGTTGGGATTAATTAAACTTGACCTCATCTAATAGGTTCTAATAATGGGAAAGTTTTTCACTTTAGTGTATTATTAAGGCCTGTGACTGAAAGATTTCAAGCGAATTTGCAAGAAATTCTAAAGCTTGTGGTTTTAAAGGGTCACAAATACCAAAACACATGTTTTGAGCTGTTGACAGTTGTATATGTGTCCCACACTGCTAAAAACACTATTAGGACACATACATCTCACTAAAATGTGTAAATTGGTAGTTTTTCGAGCAAATTTGTACTTCCGGTATTAAAGCGAATTTTTGAAGCTGCGTCACGCCCATGAGATCTTAGCATGTATTCCAGCATGTAGACTGGACTTCTGTACCTGGGAGTACCGTATTACGTCTCCGAGTGTGCTGCATTAGTTTACGAGGAAGGCTTGGTTCAAACCAATCAGCGCGCTCTATTGTGCAACTTCATTAATATTCATTATTGTTACAGTGTAGGCGACAGAGACGCCATGTTGTGTTGGCAAAACAAGCATGCAGTGTTGCTTTTATAATTTGCTGCAGTGAGGTTTTGTTTTCATTTTCTCTCTATGAGAGTGTAGCTGGACTCACGTGTGGATTACAGTGCACGCGACACATAACAACAATAACTTACGTGTCTAAGGAACATTGTTTACCCGAGAGCTTTTCTCATCTGGAATGGTGAGATCCAGATTTGCTGCTCGTCTCCTCTTAATCAAGACGCGGTTCTAGTTGCTGTGGATTGTCCTGTCTCTACAGATTTGGTGAGCGACCAGTGCTCTTTGTTTATTCAGTTTGTTCGTATCGAACTAACTATTACGCCGAGTGTAAACATGTTACCACCAAAACCAAACTATTACCGTCGTGTAGGATTTTCACTGCATTTTGTGACGGATATAACACAAGCGGCTTTCTGATGCTACCTGCCGAGTGCATCTAAGTTTCAGAGAAATGCGGAAGGTTTTTTTCTCTCATTTGCCGTGCGGTAACAAACATTGCATGAAAAATACACGCTTAGAGCAGCTCCTCGAATCAAATATCTCGTTTGTCACGAGGGGCACGAATGAAACTCCTGAATGAAAGAGCCAAACTGCAGTTAAAGTCCACCATTTAATAATTTGGCAAATAATTTGATTACTGATGTCCATGTAAACACAGTCACTTTCTCCCCTGTGTGTGTGTGTGTGTGTGTGTGTGTGTGTTTTGACTCTGAAACTCAGCGCGTGCCCAAATCGACACTCCCACGTCATCCCTCTTTTGCTCCTCTGACACTCCCCCCTAAACAGAGCTGGACACGCCCACTTTTCTGACTTTTTCCAAAGTAGAGGTGTGAAAACACCCTGCTGAAACAAGCGGGTTTCATAGCCCTTTAACAAGGATTAATTGCTTATTTACAGTATACAATAAAGACTATATGTAACCCCGCTGGTCCTACACCACACAACCCGCTCCGAGGTGGGACCGAACCAGTGACCTTCCGCATGGGAGTCGGTTGCTCTAACAAGGATGGCCTCTAGCGTCTGTCGCTAGAGCACCGTCAGAGATCAGAGGAGTGAGGTTTACCTGCACAGCACTTCACTAGCTGGCCTCCGCTACATATACAGTGTTCATTTACATTTGATTATTGTGTTTCTGAACCTCAATGCTGTCAGACTCCACTGACAACATGACGTGCTGTTTATTTCAATTTTATCTTTGATCTGTTTTTATATGTGCTTTATTTTATTTAGTTTATTTTTGTATATCCACTTCCCTAAAATTATATTAATTCTTTCCAAATATTTACTCATCATCATCATTATATCGCATTATATACCGCAGAAACACAAACTTTTGCAATGTCAGTGTGCGTGTAAGCTGGCTGTACCAGTTGTGGCAGTGGCTGCTGATGGTTTCTCCTGGTTCTGTGATCTGCCAGTCTGATGCGTCGCTCCATGACCAGGAGACATTGCCCGAGTCTGATACTGATGAGAAAACAGAATTTCAGGCTGTAAAACTCTTTAAACAGGCCTCTATTAATTTATATACTTCATTTTGGAGTAAATCTTAAAAAATAAATGAATAAATAAAAATGTTAAAAAAAAAATAAATGTTCAACCTTAAAAGGAAAACTGTGTACACTACATGAGAGAATCCTAGATTTCCATTTTGTTTAATGTAAACATGTTTGACAGACGTGCGTGACACAGTTACACCCCTAATATTAAACTAACAGTAAAGCTCCGCCAATTATTCTCTTTATTCGCTATTTCCACCGGGGGTTACTCATCCCGAGGCCCCCGGAGATTATGTAGTGCCACTGAAGCGATCCAAGACCTGTGAAGAGATGATCCCAAGGTTTCCACATTCCTGGACCAGGCCGTAGCAGCTGCTGTGGTGGTCATGGAGGAGTAGAGAGCCCGAGACTGATTCCTGTTAGCAGGGCCGGAGCAAGCTGAACTGCCGCCCTAGACGTGGATAAAACTGAGGGCGCGGGTGGTGAGGGTAGTGTCGCGGACACCGCTCTCTCTATTCTGCCGCCCTAGACGCGGATATAACTGAGGGCGTGGGTGGTGAGGGTAGTTTCGGGGATGCCGCTCTCTCTATTCTGTCACCCTAGACGCGGATATAACTGAGGGCGCGGGTGGTAAGGGTAGTGTCTGGGACGCCACTCTCTCTATTTTGCCGCGCTAGACGAGGATATAACTGAGAGCGTAGGTGGTAAGGGTAGTGTCGGGGAAGCCGCTTTCTCTATTCTTCCTCCCTAGACGTGGATATAACTGAGGGCGTGGGTGGTGAGGGTAGTGTCGGGGATGCCGCTCTCTCTATTCTGCCGCCCTAGACGTGGATATAACTGAGGACGCGGGTGGTGAGGGTAGTTTCGGGGACGCCGCTCCGCTCTATTCTGTCACCCTAGACGCGGATATAACTGAGGGCGCGGGTGGTGAGGGTAGTGTCTGGGACGCCACTCTCTCTATTTTGCCGCCCTAGACGTGGATATAACTGAGGGCGCGGTTGGTGCGGGTAGTGTCAGGGATGCCGCTCTCTCTATTCTTCCGCCCTAGACGAGGATATAATTGAGGGCGCAGGTGGTGAGGGTAGTGTCAGGGACGCCGCTCTTTCTATTCTGATGCACTAGACGTGGATATACCTGAGGGCGCGGTTGGTGCGGGTAGTGTCAGGGATGCCGCTCTCTCTATTCTTCCGCCCTAGACGAGGATATAATTGAGGGCGCAGGTGGTGAGGGTAGTGTCAGGGACGCCGCTCTTTCTATTCTGATGCACTAGACGTGGATATACCTGAGGGCGCGGTTGGTGCGGGTAGTGTCGGGGACGCCGCTCTTTCTATTCTGCCACCCTAGACGTGGATATAACTGAGGGCACGGGTGGTGAGGGTAGTGTCGGGGATGCCGCTCTTTCTATTCTGCCTCCCTAGACGAGGAAATAACTGAGGGCGCGGTTGGTGCGGGTAGTATCGGGGACGCCGTTCTCTCTATTCTGCCTCCCTAGACGCGGGTATAACTGAGGGTGCGGGTGGTGAGGGTAGTGTCGGGGACGGCGCTCTTTCTATTCTGATGCACTAGACGTGGATATAACTGAAGCG